ATTCGTGTTAATTTCTCTAATATAATATAATATTATATTAAATGTGTTCATTGAGGCAATAAGTCATCCCATATAAAAAACAATACAACAAAATTGTATATTGCATACAGCGTTGTGAGCACCGGGAGGGAGGCTTGAGTTGTATACTCGCTAATAGTCAGTGCTTCTCAATTAGTAATGAGAGACAACACACTRTAAGGTACAGTCAAATGAGTGAACATTTTAATACTTAAATACTATACTTTAATCGCTTTTAATGCTCTTAACTCGGAATTGAAATTATTTTTGCCATTTTTATAATCAAAATAAGATTTTTGGATCAATTTTAATGTCACGAATTTAGTATAGTTTTGTATATAAGTTACATAATATAACTTCAAACCCGATAATGCAAACCAACCAAATATATAGTATTACATACACTCTAGTATTGACTCTATCTATCAATCTATTTATCTATCTTTCTCTAGTTTTTTCTCTCTATAATATTATATATACTAACATTTTATCGACAATCGCTTATGTTTATATGATATAATATAGACAACACTATAAACATAGTGTATTAAGAAAATGCATTTTATGTAAAATAGTATTTATTGTAAAAACCTCTCATATAATGGTTTACAATTTGGTTATATATTGAGAGTAAATTAGCACGAAATACACGACAACACATACTGTATACTACTTTACAATAACCACTATTCACTACTATATTTAAATACATAGACTAATGACAAACTTTATATACATTTTATTCATATTAATATACTTTATATTTAACAATCATTAATCGATAAAATAATAATCAATTTATAAAATTATTTATTGATTTTAATGCAAATATCATATTGTGTATTTCATAGAGAAAAATTAGGTATTTATATTAAATAATTAATGTACTTAGTTTTAATTAATAAATAATTACAGTTGAAAAGTGATTTTTATAGTATCTTACATATTAGTGTATAATATACTAAAAATATCAATAGACGATATATCATATTATTTATTTATAAAGTAAAATAAAAATATAATATTAATATATAGATTATAATAGTAGTATAAAAAATGTTTGATTTAAGAATAATACCTAATATAATAATATAACCGATTTATGGTTTCATTGAACGACTCGATTATCTGAACAGTCAATTGATTTTATATATAAAATAAAATATTAATACAATACATGACTTGAAATGTATGCTAACATGTAATGAATATTCTTTACTTGTTTTGTTGTTAGTTATAGACAGGCAAATGCTATACCATTTAATCCATWKGKAACTTAGCATATGTTTGTCTAAACCAATTGACAAATATATAATAGTGCGGTCAATTAATAATTATATAAAATTGTTATTATTATAATATGGCAACATTATTATAGTTTTCATGTGGGAATTGTGCTAAATTAATATATATAATATTTATACATAACAAACAATGTCATTGATGAATAAGTTATTAGCATATATAACTAACTTTTATTTACTCATAAATTAATTTCTTAGTAATAAAATTATGTTTGCTTATAATTTATCGTAAATAAATTATATAAAATCAATATTGCTTTTTATTTATTTAAATTGTGTTAATTTATTAGTTAGTAAAATAAAACACTTAAGACTATTTGTTTTCAATAATCACAATACTTTTGTTTGTTGCAAATTTCCCGTGTCTTTACTTCATTATATAATAAGATATATATTTWAAAAATGCATTCAATAAACAAAAAGTAATTTACTAAAAAACAGTATAAATCATTAGTGATGACCACATTATTGTATTGTTTTTAATGCAAACATCACGTAAAGTGCTTAACGGTTAACAAGAAATAATGATCTCAACACTCGTTGAATAGTTTTTGGCTTTCATTTTGTTAATATTATATTATTATGATTTTACTTTAATATACATAAATAAAATTTTATATATATTTTATAAATACTGCAATTGCTTTTATTGTTTCTTAAATATAAAAAATTTGATTATATAAAAACAATTACAACATCATTATTGTTGTTTGTATTGTAGTTGATAAATACTATAGTTATATTTAAAAAAACATTTATTGAAATAATTTTAGTCTAGATAACTATTAATTTATATAATTAAATATCTTTATATTATGACTAAATTGATTTGAATAAAATTTATATTGTTTTTTATTTGTGTTATTATTAAAGACTAAATAAACAAKTTTTTTTGATCTCAAAAGTCATTAAAAATGTTAGTATAATTAATTAGTATAAAATACAACTTCGCTATTACTTTTTAACAAAAGTTATCATGGTCAATATACTGTATCTACACAGATACAGTTGATCATATTTATCTATTAAATATTATTTAAGATAAACTTTAATTTTGTAAATTTGTAACATTTTGAACATTTAAAAATTAACTAAGATTAYAATAATTTTATGATACAGTTAATATATTTTTATATTCATTATTTAAAACTTATTAAAATATTTTTTAAAGTTAAAGCTTATTTTAAAATTTATTATTATTTACTTGTTTTTAAGTAACATTTCCCTTCTCTTCAACCTTTTTATAGTAATAATTAGGGTTGAAAATATACAAGGTTTTGAATTTTGACTTTATATAATTCTGTATAATACAATATATTGCTTGTAATATACTATTTTTGAAGCTTATATTTTGAAAAATTTATTAAAAATATTTAGTAAAAATATAATTGCTAGAAAATGTAATATTGTTATAATAATTGAGGCTTTTAAATAATAGACATGAAATAATTGAAAATAAAAAATAGGAATTTAATTTTTTTWAAATGAATATWAAATTTACATTTATTATAAAACATGGTTTATATCAATGATTTTAACACTAGATGGCTCTAAATTTTGTTTGCATGTAAAATTAGCCATGTATTATACATTCTATTATACTGTWTTTACGCTTTGTATTATACAAACATTTTGTCTCTGCCAACATTGTAATTGATTAGTGTCTGATAAATAAAAATTTCTACTAATATACTCTATATCWTTATTTTATTTTATTTTTTTACTATTTTATATTTCATCAATTTAATATATATTGAATTTAATATTTAAAATTATAATTTATAAAATCTATTGTATAAATATTTATTTTAGTCTTTATTATACATAATGTGAATAAAAACATATAGACAAACAAATTACAATATTTAAATTTATACAATATTTATATTATTGACAATAAGAATTAAGAAATTATTTTTATGTGTTAAACAAAATTTTAAGTATAAATAAAATTAGATAWAATGAATATATAATATAARAAGAATAAAAAAATTGAGTTACAAAATGTACTAGTTAAATTTAAATAAATTCTAAAATATTTATTAATATTACATAAACAATATATATTATAACTAACTTAATTAAAATATGATTTTCTTTTATAAAACACTGATTTTTTGTTTTTGTTTTTTGTCTTTCTATGCTTTTGAAAGATTAAAAGCCTTTTAATACAATAAATTGAGTTTTTTTACAGTTATTAGCATATATTCTCGTGAGAGACAGTCTAACAACACATTTCACACTTTACCGGATATTTCTTAAGATATATTTCCTTAAAAATATCTCTTTTTGTTAAACTTGTATTATCAATGCAAAAATGTTTTATAATAAACTTAATGTGATTAAAAGCTTACATTAAAGCATATCTTTATTAAACATAGCCTTTGTAATGAATATTTGCCGTAATATAATGCATACAAAAGTATTGTCAAAAAGTTTACAAATAAATTAAGTTTTATAAATAAAAAGATTATTAAAATACAAATTTTTCTGTAATTAACACAACATTTGGTCATTTAACTCATTTAACATTTATAGATAAGGCTTATTATGGTTAGGTTGTATTATTAGAGATAAGTTTTAGGTGTGATATAATTTATAAGATAATATCATAAGAGACACTGATTTAATATAAATAATATTAAGAAAATAAATCCATGAGTCATATATTGATATGATTTTCACTACATTTATTTATTAATGTTTATATTAATATTGATAATTAAATAGAGTTACAGCTTATAATATATAGTTTTGTCTAAAAATATCATAACATATCATTTATGACTGTCTAACGGGTCATAATCGCATCAAACTTTTAGTTGATTACAATTTTTCAAAATTAATTAAATTTTTAATCAAAAATCTAAAAGTCCTTTTTTGAAATACTTTAGACACGGAATTAAAATAACAGTCAAATGCAAAAATATGATGACATCCGGTGCTTAACAAACATCAACTCTATTATCATTATTAAGGCAACTAATATTATTTTTATACAAGAGATAGATAGATATATAACAYATATATATATAGTATATATATGTGTGTTATGTATCTGAGAGAGAGAGAGAGAGAGAGAGAGAGAGAGAGAGAGAGAGAGAGCAGAGGAGAGTCAAACTTTGATTACACGCTATTATAAACAGTTGTCAACCCTATTAGCCAACAAAATGATTACAACTGTTCAAATTAAATGTTGTATTATTAAAATTATAAATATAGTACACATTTATATTAGCAAATGTGTATTTATATAAAAACGCTCAAATGTTTGACTAAATTGTTACACTTATTGAATGCTAAATATTGTCAAAAGAAAAACAAAATTAATATAAAATTGTTTTCTATGTCTTTGATGCCATGTAATTGTATAATACATTTAAATATTTATATCATAGTTAATTAATATATGCATATATTAAACATAAATTAGATAATATTAACATTAGCATATGCATAATCGTTAAAAATATTATTGTGCTGTTTATAACATTTTTTATTTATATATTTATAATAATTATATGAAAATGTTATTTGTTTAATTTAAATTGTACTCAATTAACCAAATTATTTTAATAATAATAAACACAATAAATGAAATAAATTATATAATAATAATAATATATTATTTGAGGTTATTTTATGAGATAAATCGATGTTTTAAAGTTAGAGACTTACCTTCAATACAGATGCCATTAAGTAATATAAAAATCAATAGTTTTTGGCAAATATCCGTTAAAATGCTGGCCATTGTCTTAAATATAGATATCGATATTTTTTATAAGTTAAATAAACTAATATAAAACGTTTTTTCGTTTATGGAAAATATAATTATAGTTATAAAGAAAGAGTGTCGAAGAAAAAAAGACAACAAAATGTATTTTTTAAATTTTATGTGACTTTTTCCTCATTTTCTTCAATGATAATAATGTTTATATTAAATACGTTTCTTTTATTTTATTTTTTTAATAAGTATTACTATCGGTGACAACAACTATACCAATAATATTAAAGTCAGACTTATTTTAAAAGTCAAAATGTTTTACTTATTTCACTCTTTATTTTGTCTTTTAAATACATATGTAATCAAAAGTTTAGATTCACTTTATATATAATACAGTTTTGGACGACAAACACACAAATCATTTTCATTTCTTCTCTCGTTTTCGATTTAGTCGTCGCTTTGATATCATTTGCAACAGACTTATGGATCAGAAGTCGATTTTTATAGACGACGGTAGAGATGGTTGTGATATAGCACTGGGTATTAGTTGTCGAGTACTGACTGTAGTGTTCAACTAATTTGCAATTCAAATGACAGTTCACTGCAAACCATAGTATAGTATATAAGAAATTCTGTTTCAAACAAGTCTTTCGTGTGTCGATCACAACAAACGATTCATATAAAAGTAAAACACGTTTTTATTAAAATCTCGGTTAAAGTCTACAACAAATCAAATTAAAACCAATTGAATTACTTTTTACATTTAATACTATAATTAAGATATTTTTTTATTAGTTTAGTTTATTTTAATGTAATTTAATTTTTATCTGATTATTGTTGTTAAAATATTTTTTTTAAGCAACAAGATATATGAAATAAATTTTTTTCAAACTTTAATAATCTAAAATTAAATATTATTGAACAAATGCCACAAATAATAATTAAATAGATGATAGTCTCTTTTGAACACTAAAAACAAATTGTTTATCAAACCGTAGTGTTTGAGGGCTGAAAACAATCTGGAGTTTTAAGGTATACCTCACTCTCTAAATAGTTTGTAAGCTTAGACTAGCATTCAATGTGATACGTGTTGTGCTACAGAATATGCGCTTTTGTTACACATATTTGACTAACATTTTTGAGGTAAACTATACACAAACCATTGATTTTAGTGATGCACTCAATGGTGTGTCGATCCATGTGTTTGGAGATGTGAATGATCTCTAAACTCTACTTTTCATTCATTCATTCATTCATTCATTAGTGTCGTCTCACTGTCCCTATGAATGCCAGTGTAATGCATAACGATTTTAGAAAGAGATAGTGATTTCCCAAAAAATGTAATGCATTTGAAAGCATTGCCATTGCCTTAGGATTTATATGATTGTCATCATAACAAACCTTTGCATAAAATAGATGAACACACCATATGATGTATAGACCCATAACTCCCATTCCTATTATAACTTATTGAACCATTATTTGTCTGCCTTTCTATTGCAGACAAATGTTTGARTTCATCAAATAATATATATTACTAAACATTTTCATTTAATGAAAGCCATCGTAAAATATTTTATTTAACTAAATTTAACATTATTTAAAATCATTAAGCATTTAAATATATGACAACAGTTAATAAGCCGATAAATTTTAAACAAAAAAATATATATATAAGAAAAAACTAAATTTTCTATTTTCTATTAAACTTAATGCAATATTTTAAATTTAAAATGCAATCACTGATATTATTATCGTATATCATAGTGAGTGAGATTCAAAATAAAATGCATTTTTAAAAATATAGCACACATTTTCTGATTATATCATTTGTTTTGATGTCATTCACGAGTAAAGCCGAAAAAAATATTTTAAACTTTAATGTAAACTCTTTTTAAAGGTTATATATTTATTTATTTAACTGATTAAATATTAAGTTTTATATGTTATAAATATATTATTTATTTTCTTAAATATTTAATAATTGTCTATTTAAAATTTTCTTAAAAATTATTATTAATTAAAAAATTATTTAAATTTATTTATAATTCGTATTTAATGATTGAATAAATTATTTTAAAATTGAACAATTCATAAAATAAAAATATGTTTGTTTTATATTATCAAATTGAATTACCGTATACCGCGATCTTATCGGACCTGTCCTAAATTAGATTTTGGATAAAATCTATGGTCCTAATGAATTGTATACCTCCCGGTCCTATTTTGTTAAAATTCATATATTTAGAAAGTTTCTAGAAAATCAGGTATAAATTTATAGAAATTTAACTTTATTGTTATTTAATCTATAGTTATTGTAATATTATTATTATAGATATACTATTATACTATACAGTATAGTACAGTACTATACAAATGTGATATCTATATATAAAATAATTATAATTATTTAATAATAATTAATTTTGTAAAATTGTATTCATCATTTTATTATATATGATATATATTAATTAAGCTACAGTATGATATATAATATATATATATATACTGTATATATATTTTAAATTAATAGTTAAAATACTAATAATAATATTTTAATGTATTGTTATATTACAAAATTAAAATGGGAATCCCATATATAGAAATTTTTTTAGAAACTTTCTAGAAATTTCTCTATTATTTTATAAATTTATCTTTTTTGCCAACACTATTACCGGGACTCAAAATATAGATGTCAACACAAATAAAATATAATATAACCCATACATCAATAGTGGTCCTAAATTTAGTATTTACCATGTCCTATTTTGACATTTAAGGACACGTTTACTTTTAGGACCTTCCGATAAAAATATGTTTGTTTTATATTATCAAATTGAATTAAATGATTTTATAAAAATTTAAATTATGTCTTAAAACTTGTCAAATAAATCACGTTTTTGTTCACTTATTTTTTATATCAATTATTAAACTAATTTTTAGTACAAATACTACAGTATAAACACTGTATATACTGTACATGTAAATTATATACTGTATTATTTATTGTACAGAAGTTTATAAATTTTTATAAATAAAATTGAAATTTATTTATTATTATTATTTAGTTTGTATTTTATATAAAAAAAGTTAATACACCGATTTTTATTACCAAATAAATGTTTTTAATCTTACACTTTAAATTGCTTATCAAATATTATCTAATTAATTTTAAGATAATTTTTAAAAATAAAATAATAAACTTTTAACTTTAACAAACTAAATAATGATTATAAGAAATTTTGATTGAATGTCATAATCTAACAAAAATAATAAATATTTGTTATTAATTATTATACTTTATGTAAATTACTTTAACTGCAGTAGGTTTACATTTTAAGTAACACTACAATATTATTTTTTAAATAAAAAACTATTTCAATTAAATTATATTGATATTGATTATGTCTGTGCAATATACTGTACAGTAAAAAATATAACATTAAAACAAAATTTACAAATACTGTATGATCTAATTAAAAAWTGTWTGAAACAAATATCAATGAAATACATATTGTATGTATATTMACAATTGTTTTACCTAATTGGATAAAATTGTAATTTGATTTGGCAACTGTTAGTTATACATGTTATATACAGTATATACTGTATTTATTGTACTGGTATTGTGCTAAGGATTTTTAAGGGACAGGGAGTAGTGATTTCGTGACTATTAGCTGTTAATAGCATTAAAAAAGGGCTAATTTTTAAGTGGAGTGTTGTCTCCTGTGATATGATTTTGAATACTCATTCAAACAATAGGTCTATTCATACAACCTTTTCCAAGACAGACAATATGTTACTAAAAATATATATAACACTAACTGATAGCTCAACTCATATAATAATATCACTTATTATTATAATAGTGTATTGGCTTTTTTGATGTCAAACTAATATTAGTTGTGAATAGTTTATAAATTTGTTGCCATTTTCTTTTGATGCCATTTGGGATATGAATTGATGTTTAATATGTATGAAAAACGACATAAAACTAGGCGTTTGTTTGTAACGTTTGGCATCTTTTCACTCGACTAGTGATTACAATGTTATGTTGTCAACACTTTTCACACTTTTCTTATCTATAGTTACACTCATTACGGTAAGTGATGCTATAATTTTTCATTTAATTAATAAAATAACTAACATTAAGATATATAAATTAATAAATTATATTATCATTGAGAAGCTATTGATATTTTTGCCTTAGATATAATTGTTTTGTTTTAATTAAGCTATAGTTGTCCTGTTTGTGCATAAATAATTATATTAATTATATTAAATAAGGAAAAAATAATAATTAAAAACATATTAGTACCATAAATGTAAGATAATTAGGGATAAAAATCAATTTCTTAGTAATGCAAACATTGATACAAAAGTCAATTGAAATCTATGTTCTAAACGATTGACAATAAAAGTGTTGTATAATTCACGTCAAAAGTTCGTAAATATTTTATTACAAACAAACTAATGATATAATGAGTCATTTGTTTTGTTTTAATTACACAAATGATTTCTTTTATGATTAAAAAAATCACAAAAATCTATCACTAAAACTAGTAATAAAACAGTTAAATAAAATCATGTTATAGAGAAAATAATGCAAAATAAGTAGTGTATTTAAAAATCAATAATTTATTGCATTTATAACATAATACCTGTATATAAAAATAAATATCAAAACTTACATTAGTTGAATTATATTACTGTTTAAGTTATATTTTTAATGTTATTATTTGAAAAAATAAGTTTATTATTTTTGCAACGAAATATTTTGTATATACAGTAGTGAAAGACTGTTTAATCAATACAAGGAAAATATTACTCAATATTTATGACATGTATTGTAAAATATTTAATGTTATATATACTGTACTCTACTATAAACAGTATAATACCATATTGTTAGACACAAATCGCTGTAAACTAGAGCTTAAGGTAAACGACACCTGAATTGCATTCAGTCTATTGTATAGAAAGACTGTGTTTGTCGATGCAAAAGGACATACAGTTTGCAAACACTGGATCTTCACTTTTTGAATACCGTTTCTAATGACAACTTTTTGAGTAATCTTTTAATAGTTATCAGATATTATCAGTTATTTAACTTTGAGATCCGTTTACTTGATTTACAGCACACATACACATCTTTAAACTATATAACTAACACTCAGATTAACTGGTGAACTGAAAATCTGCTAATTTTCTTATAATAMGTTTAGTTTGTAATGTCATGGGTTCTGTATGTTCAGTGATGAGTGGCTCTCAAATAGACTATTATTCAGACATACAAAAGCCAGCTATGAATAAGCCGACAAAGTATTGGGATTCCGGTTATGTGATCGACAAACATATGAATAATAATGGATTGCATTTGAACGGCAATTCTGTGACCAATACTATAACAAAATCGTTTGTCACTGAAGACCACTCATTACCGGTTGTCTCCGTATCTAATGATTACAAAGTTGTTTCACGAGACGAATACAAGCAATGGCTAAGTTTGAAACGATCCGGACTTTTAAGTGTCACTCCAGCAAAGGTTAGGTGTAAAACAGCTACTTTAAGATCTAAATCATAAATTATTATTCATTTAACTTATTGTATAATACATTATTCATTTTTTAATATTAATTTAATTTAAATAAGTAATATATAGATAATATTTACGTAATAAACATGATTATAATATAATGTATAACTAATTCTTTAAATTTTAATAAATACAATATTTAAGTCGATCTTAATATTTAATTAAATTAAATTTGTAGTTAACATAGACATTATTGAAGACTTATTTTTAAGTTAGTTAATCTAAAATTTATTTCAATCTTTTTCAATAAATTATAAAATCATTTCATGATATCATTATACGATTGAATGGCTTATTGAAAATAAAGTGAATTTAAAATTTTGTGGATAAATGTCTGGAGAAATGAAGTCTAATAGGTATTCAATATTCTTTGAATAAATTGTTTCTCATATAAAGCATTAAATGAGTCGTTTATAATAGGATTTTGTAAAAAAGGTATTCAATTGCTTTTGTGAACAGTTTCTTAACACAAGAATAGCAATATTGAAATGTAATATATTTTAGTTTATACAGTATTTTTTAATATTATATACAGTATTCATACAAAACAACAATTAAATATTAATTGACTTTTGTTATTAATAAAAATAATAAAATTAATTTTTCATTAATGAAAATATTTTCTAACCTTTGTGAATTATAATGGGTCAAACATTTCAAACAAAAATAAGCAAGGTAAACTATATTTTTTAAACGATAAAGTATTTAGCATTTATGTACAGTTTACCAAATTATTAGATTTAATTAAAAGTAAAATATATTTAAAATATAATTATATTACTATACAATAATTAATACATTTTAATGGCATGCTTTCAAAAACATTTGGCAATACACTATATTATAAATACAAGCGATGAGTGATTTAATAAATCTAAGTTTTAAATTAAAAATAAATATTTTTGTTCATTAGTTTACAAGACAAGACATTAATAACAAAATAATTTATTTTCTTTTGTATTATTTCACAAATACAAAATAATTAATGTTTATTAAAATTAGATATACATTTAATTATATGATAAATATATAATTTATAATTACGAAATATTTAGTAAGTTATATGATTTATGTTAAATCTAGAAATAATTTTATAACATTTATTAAATAACTGTTTTATGACTATTGTAATACTGTATGATATTATTTGTTAAAAACTTATTGTTTGCACGAAGTTATACTACTGTATAAACTTTAAAGTATTAAATTGGAATACATTTAAAATTTATCGATAATTGAAATCTCAGTTATAATTTTCAAATCAATCAACTTTTGTGACATTAATTTGTTTAAAATGTCTAAAACTGAGACAACAACTGAAGCAAAGACATCATCAAAGACAGAGTCGACACAGGAATCAAAACCTGAGTCAAAGTCTGAAACCACTGCAAACCCATTGGACACAACTCAACCAAAAACTCCTTTAAACTCTTTTGAAGGCTTAGTCTTTGGTTTGGGTAATCCATTGCTTGATATTAGTGCTAACGTTGAGCCAGAGTTCCTCAAAAAGTATAGTCTTCTGGCAAATGACCAGATTTTGGCCACAGAAAAGCACAAGAATATGTGCAAAGATATGATTGAGAAATACAAAATGGATTATTCTGCCGGTGGATCCATACAAAACACTCTTAGAGTTATGCAGTGGTTCTTTCAGAAAGTGCCAAATGTTGCCACTTATATGGGATGTATTGGAAATGATGGCAACGGAAAGATTATGGAAAGTGAAGCAAAAAATAATAAAATAAATGCTATCTATTTGGTAGACAAGACTGTGTCAACCGGTGTCTGTGCGTGTCTTATAACAGACAACGGAAAGAATAGGTCACTAATTGCTTATTTGGGCGCAAGTCTTAAGTTTAATATCCAACATATGCTAACTAATTACCAATTCGTCCAAAAAGCCAAATATATCATAACTTCTGGTTATCATTTGACTGTCAGTTTTGAGTCAATCATGAATTTGGCCAAACATTGTGAAACCAATGATAAAATATTTCTATTTTGTTTGTCCGCTCCATATGTCTCAACAAAACACTCCAAAGAGTTGCTACAACTTTATCCATACATTGATTACTTGTTTGCAAACGAGTCCGAGAGTCGCGAGTTCTCCGAAATGATGAATTGGTCGACACATGAGATCAAAGAGATTGCATCACTAATGGCTGATAAAGATATCGAAAAGAAAAAGAGAGGAAGAAAAGTGATTATAACTCAGGGAAGAGCTAATGTTTTGTTGGCATATTCTGGTGATCCACACATCAAAGAGTTTGATATAATAAAAGTGTCGCAAAACAAAGTGATTGACACCAATGGAGCCGGAGATGCATTTGTCGGTGGCTTTTTAGCCCAACTCATATGCGACAAAACCATTGATGTCTGCATTAAATGCGGTAATTATGCGGCTTCTGAAGTCATTCAACAGTCTGGATGCAAATTTCCAAAAGTAAATAAATTTAAAATCTAATTTTCAGTCATTTATTTACATAATTAAATAATTTTTTAACAAAAAAAAATCTCATTTAAACATTTCATAAACTTAATTGTAAGAATTAAAAATAAATTATTTATGTTATGTATTATTTAAATCAATATATATATATATATATATATATATTAGAAATTGTGTTTCATATTATATTTTCATTAAATTTTTTTCAAAACCATTATAAATAGCTAATTAAGTATTAACAATAAAAAATTTAATAAATATAAATAATTATAAATTGCTGTAAATATAAATTTTATATTAAAATATTCACAAATAGTTAGAATATTCATATAATTTACTAATAAATTATTGGTACAAATGTTTGAACAAAATGGCAATTCATAGCATAAAATATATATACCTTCAAAGCACTTGTTATATAAAATATGAATCAAACAGTTAGAAGTGTTGCTTCAAACTCGTATCTAAAACAACTTAACTGCAAATGCATTGATTGTTCAAATGAATTGAGTATTTTGTCGACCAAATTGTCGTTGAAGTCATAGTCTTGAGTCGAGAGACAAGTTAGACATTGGTTAAGCTTTTTGTCTGATAAAGTGGTTAATTCTCTTCTTGAGTGACTAAATGCCAGTCGAAGAGCACCGATATCTATAATTGATTGAAGACGTGCCGCGTCTGTGATTTTAGTTGATATGCTATCATAGAGACGTTCAATCTCTTCGAGAGCCGACTCTATTATACAATACATAACTTTCTCGACAAAGACGGGTGCGATTTGATAGACTTCTGATTGAATTTCAATCAAATTAGTTAATATTTCTTTGATATAATAACTGACATCACTTGGCATTTGATTGGAAGAAAACCATTCGTTGCCAAATAAATACATCGCCGGTTCAATGGCACCAATAATGACATCGCATTTGCGCTCAATATACTGATCAAAAAGTCGATTCTCGAGATCTCTAAACTTATTTTGTGTTATTTTAATCACTAAACTCATGTCAGGATAACCAAACTTCTCAAATGATTCGTGAAGTCGAGGAATGACCTGATTGTATGTAAAACTACAGTTACATAACACTATAAGAGTGCGATCTTCTATTAGAGGAATAGTTTTGGGCGTCGAAGACGGAGAATTTTGTGGAGTCGACACTGTCTTCTCAAGTGCGCATATAAACGATTGAAGAAGATTTTGAGCCAACTGTTTAACTGATCCCTGAACGTTGATTTGACTAAATATATCGGTATCATCACTACTGCGAACTTGAATTATAGTTTCGCGAACTAATTGTAAGATTTCGATAACTTTACATTCATATAGAAGTGGTAATTGAGTTCTGGCTCCGACCATATCGTCCAAATCCATTTCCCAGATCTCCTTTAAATGCAAATTCTTTATTTCAGCGGAACATTGATTGAACAAACAAATCATAGAATGGACGCGAAGATCAAAAATCAATTGATTTAATGGTTTCAATACATTGTTGTTTGGATTCGACGATAACTCAAGTTTTGATAGATTTGAATAACAAGTAATAACAGATCTCAGACAGTATGGCAACCAAAGAACAAATTGCTCATCAATTTCATAACTCCATGGCTGGATGTGAGGCATGTTTTTAATAGAATTGGGCAAAACTGCAGCTCTCATCTCATCACAAAGTATTTGGATCTGCTTTTCAACCATTTCTTTATAAAAGATATCATCCTTTGCTCTCAATTGTTCGTATGTTTCTCCAGCATAAAGATCTCCATTAAGATAAACTGTTCCCAATTTGAATAAATCAGGAAAAAAGTTGTTAAACAAATGGGTTAACTCATCAACAAATTGTATTTGTTGTGGAGCTTCTACTGGATAGTCAACACTATCTTCATTATCACTCATGTCATCCGCTTCAATAGCAACAGTCTTTGTTTTTGAATTTTTATGCTTTTCGCGGCACTTATCGATTGAATATAATAATGTTTGTTTGATTGTCTCAATTGAATGCCAGGCCGGGTCTCCCGGTTGGTCTAAACTAATTAAATAGCGTATCAGTCGCTTCACTTCATCAATATTTCGGTTTTCATTTTGACTACAACTTTGTCTCAACTTTTCATTTAACATAACTCTAAACTTTTCAATCCTTTGAACCACTTCTGAGTAAACTTTTTTAAAGACATTTACAGATGAATTTGAAAACAAAGATTTGGCGCGACTAAAGTCATTGATCACAATATCGTAATCACCTTTAAGTATACTTTTATCAATATTTGACGGAAGATTAAACAAAAAACGATATCTCTGGAGAACGTTAAGCGCATTACGGGTGGAGTCGGCCTTATCTTTACGAGAAAGGATGGCATCAAATATGGCGTGCGCTTCTTCTGTCGATTTACGGATCAATTCATCGACTTTCGCATTCAAATCGGGTCCCACTTCTTGTTTATCTTTTTTAAGAGCCAAATGTAATGCTTTCAATGCGTCTAAACATTCAATAACTGGTAATACATTACTCTTGAGAAAAGTCACCGGAGCTGAGGAAGCATTTGGTGTCATTTGTGTCTCACATTTAGCCCGAAGTAATTCAAGGCCAAGTTTAAGATCATTAAAAGAGGTATTGTTGTGATGCTCTAACAAATACCAATTGGGAAGGAAGTGATCGGATGTGATATTGGCGTACGTTTGAGGCAATGCTTCGGTCGCTTCGGGAAACAACTCTCTAAACAACGAGTCATTGATTTTAGCACTTCTAGTCTTCGATGGCGAGTCTTCATCAGTACAGAGACCCAATGGATCGTTAGAAAACATCATCGTTGGAGATGTCGACCGATGTCTGACATTCATCTGATGAAAATCATTTTCATCGATCCAAACGGCCGAGTCTTTAGTGGGACCGACAATCTCTTCATATCCCTTAAACTGAACGGTTGATGAGCCGATGCCACCACTTTTGGTGGTAACGATGACATCACCTAAACCTTTACAACGACCCGATCGACTGATAATCTTTTGCGGTGATAACCACTCGCTATACATAATACAGTCAACGCCGCAGATGTGGACACTTATGAGGTCGTCCTGTGAAAGGCCTAAGTTCTCGCCGCGAATCGTAATCTTAGTTCCCGGCGGTCCCTCTTTCGGTGACAAACCCGTAGTCTTCGGACAACTCATCGTTTTGGTCATCAATTGGTCTCACAATTCAATTAATAACTCATTTAATGAACAAATTTATTGATAATTTTGTGACACTTTTTTCAGTCACTTTTAAGAGGCGTTTGTTGTCATTGAATGCTATTTCACAACAAATCCATTCAATTAATGAGTTTTCAATAAATTCCGATTAATTGCAAAATTAATGCATTATTTTTGTTCCCCTTTTTTCAAATAAAACTGTTGTTTGCATACAAACTGTTCAAATAAATTAAAACATCAAAACCTTAGATATTGTGTCACATTATATATGAATAATAGGAGAAAAGTTATTTTGATTTTTAGATTAGACGTCACACAAACCAAACCCATACTAATTGTAACTATTAATACATAAAATCTAAAAAACATWAAAAGTTTTATAACAGAAAAATTTAAATGATTTATATTAAAAAATAACAATTATTTTAATTTAATAAAATATTTTGATTGAAATAAATGACAATAAAATAATATTTAATTGATTGAATGTATGAACGGTTTGGTTATTTGAATGTATTAAGTGTGCAATAGGTGTGCATTAAATGCCATTTTAGTTATGATTCGTTGTTTTGCTGTCTATTGTGTTCATTGATTGCCTGTTAGTTCGTGTCTCTCATCCTATAGTAGACTAACTATCGGTTCTCTCAACACATCATTCGTTGAAATCATTTGACAACAAATCTCATCAAATATTTTGGCAAATATTTGATGTAATCATCAGTTTTGCAATAATTATTGTCAACAAACAAAATCTGTGACAACATCTGATCGGACAGTCTTAAGACGTCGTGTCGACCGCAGTGACCACTCGATATGTCCGACGGCTATAACCATTCGGTGGACACCAATGTCGCCAATAATAGCGAAGCCCAACAAATGCTCGACAACTTCTGGCACCGAGAGATAGATAACATCAAGAACTTGGGTTTGGTATGTCTTATCTGTTATTATCACTCAATCTATTCATCTTTGGTCACCACATACTCTCTCATTGTTCACAAATTTCACATTCATTTGTTTGCATTGTTTTTATGCATTTAAAACCAATTTCAAAGTTGTTTTAATTATTTTTTTAAAATTAAATTTATTGTTAATTTGTTTACCGCTGAAGAATGACTTTAAGAATCAGGAGTTGCCATTAGCTCGGATTAAGAAGATTATGAAATTGGATGAAGACGTTAAGGTATGTTATAAAATGAAATAAGTCATCGATGTTTAATATAATGTAAATGATGTCCAAACAGATGATATCAGCCGAAGCGCCCGTTCTGTTCGCAAAAGCCGCTGAAATATTTATTACAGAAATCTCATTAAGAGCTTGGATTCATACAGAAGATAATAAAAGACGAACACTGCAGAGGAATGACATAGCGATGGCCATCACAAAGTACGATCAGTTTGACTTTCTTATTGATATCGTTCCCAGAGATGAACTAAAACCAACCAAACGTCAAGACAACGAAACTCTCCGCTCAGCGGTCGCCACAACGCAAGTACCTCCAGATCAGGTGCAGTACTACTTGCAATTAGCACAACAACACAATCAGGCTCTTCAACATCAGGGCCAACCAACTCAACAAATTCAGATCTTACAGACCGGTACCGCACCTGGAGGTCAGCCACAATTTACTGTATCACCGCAATTGGTCCAAGTGCAGATGCCGACCAATGCTAATAATGCTGGAGGTGATGGACAGAACGTGACCGCATCGGCATCACCTCAAGTACTCCAAATCTCTGCACCAAATGCTTCAGCTAATACACAACAGAAGGCAGGAATTCAATTCATTCAACAGTTAGTTCAAACCAATGGAGGAGAGCTGGTTCAACAACAGATACCAATTCAATTATCTGCTCAACAAATTCAAGCATTACTTCAGAGTCAAACAGGAGGTCAGGCGGGAACTAATCAACCAATTATATTGACTTCACCGTTACAACAGGCAGTTTCATTGCCTCAATACCAAATTGCTACGAGTGGTGGCACTCAGTACCTCCAAACYGTTGTTTCGGGCGCAGCCACTAATGTGACCACTGGTTTGACAGCACATCAAACCGATATTAACTCATCCCCACAATTGGACGAAGAGTCCAACGAGACTTAACGCACTTTATATATATTTTTTATTATAAATCTCACAAAACTGTTACCAAATCATTGACTCATTTTTAAATAATTATATAATACCTTTTGATCTCATATTATTACTGTAATATTTTGTAAGATTGTCTAAATTTACCTAATGTTATATTATCCTAAATATATACAGAAAGGTGTTAATGATTATCCAGGTTTTTTCAAAATTGAATTACAATATATGTTAATCTACTGTAGATCAACATTGTTTATCATACAGTATTACAGATGAGTTCAATATTACAATAATACTGTATAATTGTAAATTTATATATTGTAATATCAAAGAAGCAAACTTACGGTAATATTACAGTAATAATTTGAGGCCAAACGGTACTTCAAAATCATAAGTTAAAATAAAGTTCACATTTTATATAATGTATTCAATTGTTATTAATATTGATAACTGTTTGCCTTAGGATAAGCAAAATGATAATATGATCAACAAATTAATTCAATACAACTTTATTTTTTTACTCAAAAATTAGTTACAAATAGTGATCAAATTATACGCCAGACTTCTTAGAATTGAAGTATTCTTTGAGGAAATCCATGGCTGGCGTCTCTTTGCCGTAATCTTTAACGACAACACAACTACATCCAACCACTTTGCGTGCCTTCCCTTCTTTGTCAATCTTGCAAAGACCGGCCCATTCGCCTAACTTCTTGTTGTCGTCAACTTTGATCAAATCGATCTGATGTTCAGCACAGAGAGCTTCCACGAGTTTCTGATACATCGGTTCATCGCAATTGGTGGCCAAAACGCACAGATGTGCCTGTCGTCTACCAATTCAATCATTAAGATATTATTAAATATGTATTTATCTGTTAATCTATATTAATGTCTGGATTTGTGTATTAATAAAAATCAGATTAAATTTAGGGTAACGAAGTCCGGAGATTATCCTCACAGATATAAATCAGAAGAGCGAGTCCTGACATATGGTCATCATTTGTAATACTATTCACTCAAAACTATTTGTCTATAAATTCATTAAAAGTAAATCACATACTTATCCAATGCTTTGGCCGCTTCGTGAAGACCTCTGGCCAGACCGTCGTGAGTCAATGACGTCTTCAAGACTTCTTGTAGAGCCATATTCACGTCAAGAATAGGTGCGGCCGCTGTAATGGGCGCCGAAGTCTCTCTGTTRGACACATTAGTGGACACAAGTTATACTATTAGCCGATTGCCGATACAATTAGATAACACGTGTGCCGTACATACCCTTCATTGTCCGACATTGTCGTCAGTTTATCAGTGGTTTTAACTAAACAACTGAAACAAATCAAAGACAAGGATATCAGTCAGTGTTTTATATAAATTATTGATTTATAAAACAATTGTAATTAATATTAAATTTAATTACAATTAAGTTAAGCAAACAATTACTTACAATCTATAGCATAGCACACAAGGAAAAGGAAGTTAATCTATATATACATACAAAACATCAATTATGTCAGTCATTGATGTTTGGCATCAAATACAGTCAAATACAGTCAATCATGTTATTAGTATCGCTAATAATCTGATATTTAATTTATAATTTAATTTATAATTAATTGTCAGTATTTTGTTATAAATAATAATTTTGTTAATTGCTGTCAATTATAGTTTGTTTTTATATAACTTTATAAAAATTTATTTAAAATTAAATTATATATAAAATATTCTACAAATTCTATAATTTAATAAACAATTCAATGAATTCAATATAACATTATCGATAATTAAAATATTGTAGCACTTCGTGGTAATTAACAATACAATTAAAAATTTATATAATTATTAAATTGTTATATAATATGCGATCAAAAAAACTATTTATACAACAATTTGATTAATATTATAAAAATAGATTCAATTTTAATTAAGTTTGCAAAAGTTAATTCTCAAAAATAAGTTAACATTTATAAAAATATGGCATTAAATAAATTTATATAAATTATTAGTTATTAACATTAATTTCAGTGACTTTGACCCCAAGTTTATTGAGTTCTTCTTTGGCTTCTTTGACAGCCTTTAAATAAATTAAATTATTAAAAGATTGAATACATAAATATATAATCAATTTATACTTCAATGTCATCCCATTTCTTGGAGTTCTTATATTTGCCGATCACTGCAATCATCAAACTCTTTGCCCGATTGGTGTCGCGATTCAAAGCAATCAAAGTCTTCGCAATCAAAACTTTGTTTTTTGAGTAGAAGTCACTGTCGAGCTCTTCGGCTTTTTCAAGAGCCTGAAGACCAACTTCGAGATTAGCCTCAGGCAGTGACCCGTATATAGCAGCTGAAGATTAATTTTATTGTTAAAAGTATTATAATTAAAAACAAATACAAAGTTGATTACCGGCCACTTTTCTTTCAATCCATGAAACTTGATTACAAGAGTAATGCCACTCTCCTAACAAATAATGAGCGGTGGGATCATTGGGTGAGTATTTGATGGCTTTCTCCATATGTGTCCTAACATTCAATACTTGTTGTATTTTCTCTCGCGTGCCCTTAGCTGAAGACACGGCGTTCAATAAGATTGCGGCCCACTTAAGCAAATRTTTGACATTAAGTTAGTCTTAAATTATCACAATTAGTATTAAAAAGCTAACCTTATGAGCGGGTCCGCACTCATCGCACAATTCAATTGCTTTGATGACATGTCTGTGCGCTTCTTCGAGCAAAACAATCGCATCTTTACTATTATTAGTCTCTCTTTTACTCAAATGAAACTCACATCTGGCCACTCGCCACAAGACATCGTGATTGTCATACCAAGAGGGCTGTGATTTCAATATCTCATAGAGTTTGTCGAACTCATTCTCATCAAACAATCGATCCATTTCTTCTAAGATTTGTTTCTCTTCGAGTTTGTGGTCACGACTGCCCCACGCCTTCACCACAAATGGAAATGTTATGGCAATTGACATCAATTGTCGGGTAAATTCAATATTTCTATATTTTGACAAAATTGTTGATAATATAACCGACTTATTGCCATATTTTGCAAATTCTGTCAAATTTTTAGTCTTTGATATAACTCTTTGAAAGTTTATAGTCTTGTCTATGATTTTAAAAAACTGCAAATATTTAAGCACTACTTCTTTAGCCATCATTTCGTTTGTTTTAACCAAACACTTGTATTAATATTAAGTTTTATTTTTAAAAAATGAAATTTTTATCTCAAATAATTAACGATTGTGACTATAAAAGTGTCAAATTATTTTCATAATGAAATTATTATATACTTAATGGCGATTACTGTATGAAAAAGTAGTTGTCTTATCGCTAATAATGTACAGTAACTGAGTGTCAGTCAGTAAACTCCAAAGTACTGTAATATGAATGTATCGATAGCTACTGTAGTGATAGTATAGATCATTGAATACATACACAATAAAAACATMAAAAAAACTATTGTAAAACATTGACAAAACCGGCTCTGAAAACAACTTTTTGTGAGTTTGAGCACTGATTCTGGTGTTTGAGTCTGAGTTGTGATCATATCCTTGAAAGTCATCAGAATATGCCTTTCATTTGGTAACAACACATATAAATACCAATCATTTCTATCATTTTAATCACTTTTACGTCAGGAAAATCCCATAAAATATTTATTAGAAACTTCTAAAAAGGTTAATAAAATCGGTTTCCTATAAGTTGTTGGAAAATAAAGTAATGAAAAATATTATTTTATATTTTATTTATTTTAAAAAACAAATGAATTTAATTCAATTTTTATCAAATGGTATAAAATAATACAAATTTTTCCTTATCGATAGCAAAACATAAAATACTTTATTTTAATTATCTAAATATATATAAATTGCTATCATCACAAAAATTTATAATAAATATGTATTAATTATGATTCATAATCGCAGTACAAAAACAGCCGTCTATTTTTGCATTTAAGTACTCATACAATATTTAATATTATATAATATTATTATCGAAAAATTATTTCTCGAATAAAAAAGTATTTTTTTAAGTGTATAAAAATGATTGTAAAATGACATCAATATTGTAATTCTCTCAATACTCTTAATGACATAAATAGTAAATAAATTAATAAAAAAGGCAGTTATTTAATAATAATAATAATAATTATTATTTTCACTTAAAATCTCTGATCAGAAAATAGCGGCATTAAAACAAATCAAGTTTTGTTCAATAATTCACTTGTTTTGCTTTTAAAAAGATTTGCTGCACTTTTTAAGTCAATTTTATGGTTACTTTGAGCCCAAAAAATAAATTACTTAATTTGACAAAAACTACTGTATTTACAATAAACAAAATTATGTATAGAATATATTTATATTTATATAATATTTCGTTGCTTTTAATTAATAATCAACTAATTTATGAAATCAATAGGTAAGGAATGATAAGATGATCGAAATAAACATTAAAACTCTTCGGCATCTCTATAGTTAGGTTCGGCCGACACTAAAAAGTCATCGAAAAATCCGTACAAATACTCAAATGTTGGCCTCTTTTCGGGGTCCGCTTCCCAGCAGTGGATCATTATATTATAGACAGAGTCGGGACACTCACAGTTGGACGGCTTTGGCATACGGTATCCCCGCTCTACTTGTTCTATGACCTCACGATTATGCATACCTTTAAACAAATTATAGACATAATGTTAAATTGTTGACAACAGTAATCAATGTAAAATTTGTTTCAATTATTTATATACCCGGATATGGGACCTGTCCATGGGTTATAAGTTCGTATAACAATATGCCGTAACTCCAAACATCAGATTTAATAGAAAATCTTCCGTAAAGAGCCGCTTCGGGTGCCGTCCATTTGATGGGAAACTTAGCGCCCTGTCTAGCGGTGTACTCTGAGTCCTCAATAACTCGGGCCAAACCAAAATCAGCGACTTTGACCACTTTATTTTTATCTACCAATATATTCCTGGCGGCTAAATCTCTGTGAATCAATTTTTGACCCTCAAGATAAGCCATTCCACTGGCAATTTGTGCGGCCATATCTAAGAGGTCATGTATTTTAAGAGCCTTTCCTTCTTTGTTACGCAAATAATCTAAAAGACTTCCGTTGCACATGTATTCAGTGATTATAAGAAGCGGTTCCTCTTGTGAACAAACACCGTATAGTGGGACCAACTTTTCATGTCTACACTTTCGCATAATAGCTGCCTCTTCAAGGAATGCCTGCGGAGACATCGTTCCCGGTTTTAATGTCTTTATGGCCACTTCTTTAACACCTATTACCAATAGTTAGCGTTAGTTTTAATGATTAAAATTTATGCGTTTGATTGTCAATACCTTTAAACTTTCCGTAATAAACTTTACCGAAGTTTCCTCCGCCTAATTCACGAGTAAATTCCAAGTCTTTCCTATCAATCTCATCCTTCTTCAGCGGCCAAAAAGTAGGTTTAGATTTAGGACACGCTTTTGTTAACTCATGACAGAGACCATTAGCCCCTTCAGTATAATAGGTGACTAACTCTTGTAATGTACTGAATGTCTTTCTTGTGGTAACATAATAGCCTCCGTTGTCCATCGCYTTGATCTTATAATGCTTAACGTGATCACCTTTATTTTGATCCCAATCTCGTATTGATAGTGAATAAGCACCTGTGTATCAATTACCGTAAGAAGAAATTTTAATAAATAAAATAAATTACATTAAAAAATCTCAAGTATTACCCGCCGTTTGTTCACTATTTCTAATAAGGAAAGTACCCCTCGGGTTATCACCCAAAAGAAGTAATTTTTCGGCCTCTCGTCGGGAAATTTTACCAAAAAACCATCTGTTAATTAATAAATATGTTATAACTTATTGATAAAAAATGTAAAATATAAGACATACTCTTCCATTTCAATGGCTTCTGAGACCACATAATTCATAGGTATGTATCCCTTTTGATTGTTAGTCATATGTTTAGCTAACCACCAGTCGGGATCACTATCGTCGAGGACATGGAGGCGCTCGCCTTTTCTGAATGAGAGGTCGCCGTCGTCTTTGGCATTATATGTATACAAAGCAATGACTACTTTAGAGTGCGATGACGATGGCGTGCGGTTCACGTGTGAGTCCGCCGAAGAACTATTGCTGTGTTTGGCGTTTTGTACGTTTGCTGACACCGATGACAGAGGCGTACGACAGTTGCCGTGAGAGTCACCCGACTTGTGATCATCTTTTGATCGATAATTGGCACCTAATCGAGGATCCAAACCAAACTGATCCTTACCATTGCTGGCTATATCACCGTTTACTTTATCACCAGCGATACAGTTACCCATTATATCAGATAATACTAAACAATACTAAAAATATATACTAATTATACTAAACATAAGTAATATAAACATAAGTAATGATATGTTGAAAATGTGTTGTCAATCAAATCCAGTCTAAACTCTCTTACCTTAATATAAGAGTTAATTTAAAACTTATGACAAGTTTACAGTATATTACAGTATATTATTAATTAATAGCTTAAGTATTCATATGAAATACCGGTGCGAATCGGGTCAGTACTCACTCACTCACTCATCACAATATATTACACAAACTTTTTTGTATATCATATTATAAACACTTTATATTTAATTGTCTTAAATGACAAACATATAAAACATATAAAACATAGGATATTATGATAACAACACATATAACTTAATGTTAATAATAATATTAATTATTACAAAAAACATTATTAAATATTTATTTTTAAACCACAATTCAAATTGTTTTGTAAATAAAACATAAATAACATTAAATGGCTTCTCCGTGGTCTCCCTGAGCTCAGACTCTATTAGGTTTGTAACATAAATCAAATTACTGTACAAACTGTACATACTGTCAATGCTATGCAATACAGTGTAGGCCTACTTACCTAACCTAACCTAATCTGGTTTAGGACTCATAAACTAAACTAAACCTAAATTATAATAGAAATATAGAAACAATTAATAAATTGTTTTCTCAACAATCAATGCAATCATTTGACTGTATGCTGTACTTTGCATATACTGTATATTAATAGCAATTGTAGCTTTGATAGTGCTATCACTGATAGCCTACAGTATAACATTAATTATGTTTCAATCTAATAGAGGGTGAAATCACTGTTTCTACTTTATAGTGAAGGTCGGAACCGAACGTTGGGTTCGGGAAATGTCTAAAACCGCAACCATTTCGGTTCGGTTCCTATCACAAGATTTCGGTTATTAATAGAATGGTTTGATTGACGGTTTMGAATTTTGAGATGTTTTTTAATTTAAATACTTATTAATAAATATTACATTTAAATACTGTATATTATTCTAAATTTATATTTACTGTAATATATAGTATATAATTAAAATACAGTAAATATAAACTTTAAAAATTAAATGTACATTTCTAAAAAATATATGCAAAACAATATTTAAATTTATTATTATTTAATTAATAATTTAAATAAATAACTGTTGATTCGGTTCCAGTTTCTCGGTTACGGTTTGAGAAATTTGCTTCGGTTCCTACCTTTACTTTATAGTACTTTATAGTACAGTATTGTATTACAGTATAAATTTATATCCATTTATTTATATAGCAATAAAAATATAGTTTTAATAAATTATTAAGTTTTATGTTGTCTTCACTATTAATAATAAACTTTTTTATTTAAAACTTACAATTGAAGACACTTTTCGGTGTAAATCTGAGGTCATTATAAACGCCGAATCGGATTGAGTTGTATGGTATGGCAGACATAACTAAATTATATTTATATCATATTATTTGTAAAAATATGATTATATTTATTATTTTTGTTAACAATTGGTTTAGATATTGTCTTAAATTGAGAATATATTTGGTTCTTGTAGCGTTTACCGGTCCTGGGAATCCCGTATAGTGATGGTCCCGTATAGTGATGGTAGCCCAGACCTCCCTGAGTACCCCCATAGCACTTTCATACCTGTCCGACCTCCGCAATTTGAGATATTCGACTTTAAAGTCGATTTTTTTAATGGACGTTATTTATGTATATGAGACATTATTTCAATGTACTTTTTAATGCTACTAATATATCTGAAAACAAAATTTCAATACGATTTCTAGTATTCGAGATATTCGACTTTAAATCGAGTAAAAATTATTTGCAGTATAAACCAGTTGAGAATGCTAGAAAGCATTTCCATACGTACTTTTTTAGGAGTTCGTGATAAAAGTATTATTTGTTGATAGTACTATAAAATACTATCATGATTTAACAAACTTATCATTCAAGTCTAGCATTGCCAAAAATATTATCAAATTGCATATTAATTTTACACACAATTAACAATAATAAATTTATACATTTAATAAAATAAATAATATACAGTAAAAATAATAATTAAATGCAATATACAAAAAAATCGACTATAGTCGAATATCTCGAATACTATATAACTTATAGAAATGTTGATTTTATTATGATAGTTATTATTAAAAAATACATTGAAATCATATATCATATGTATAAATAACGTAATTTAAAAATTTCGACTTTCGATTTAGTCAAATATCTCGAATATTAGAAATCGTATTGAAATTTTGTTTTCAGATATATTAGTAGCATTAAAAAGTACATTGAAATAATGTCTCATATACATAAATAACGTCCATTAAAAAAATCGACTTTAAAGTCGAATATCTCAAATTGCGGAGGTCGGACAGGTATGAAAGTGCTATGGGGGTACTCAGGGAGGTCTGGGCTACCATCACTATACGGGATTCTCAGGACCGGTAAACGCTACAAGAACCAATATATTTTCACTATTAATGTCAATACAGTAGTCATGTCTGACTCGGCGTTGATAATGGCCTCAGATTGAGACCGAAAAGTGTGGACACATTGTCACCGAAAACTGTCTTCAATTGTAAGTTTTAAATAAAAAAAAAGTTTATTATAGTTAATAAACTTACAGTAATATACTGTACAGTATATAATAGTTTGCATAATAATATTTGGCTTTAAATATAAGCACAAAATCATTTACAAACAAAAAATTAATACATTTTATTATACGATTGCTTTCATCATATAATATATAGTAAGAAAGCAATCGTATAAATAAAGTCATAATTTTTTGTTTATTTGTAAATGATTTGGTGATTATATTATGTATAATATAATATCAATTACTTACTCACAAATGCATAGTAAAGCATATTATGTTATAATATAAACATATGTAATATAAGCAGACAAAACGTAACTATAAAAATCATATTTTWAAAAATAATTTTTTAACAATATATCATAAATATTAATAACTAAAATTATCATAGATTAATTAAAAACTAATTTAAAATATAATAAATAATATTTAAAAATTAATAATTTATTTTTATTTTAATTATGAAAAATAAGTAAAACATAAATATATATGTACAGTGTATGGCAATATTAATGAAACAAATTATAAACAATTGTTATTATAACTATTGTACTATTAATGTCAGTTTAATATGTGTGACTATTTTAAAAGTGGTAAAAATATTATAGATATGCTAAACTAAAAATTGTATTTTTAAATAATTTTATTATTTATCATATATCAATTACATTACATTTGCAAAAAATAATTAATAATTAATAATAGTCTGCTGTATATTAGTATAGTTTTTATTTTATAAAATATTTGTTTCAAGTTTTTTTTGTAACACTACATTTATAAATATATTTCTCAAAAAAATCATTAAACTTATTTATATTTATCTTATTATAATTATTATAATCATAAAATATCATTTTATTATTTAATTTAATCAAATAAACAGTAAATACCTCTTTTTGATGACATATTTATGATATTATTAGTTATGTAATAAAAACAGAAAACAAACTGACGGACAGTTAAATTAATTATTTGAAATAATAATTATATTAATAAAACATATATAAAAATTAATTCACATATAATTAAAACTTTTAATTGTTTTGTCATACTTTGTATAACTTGTGATTTCAATCACACAATGATTACATATTATTGAGACAGTTATGTAAACATAATTTATTATCACTTTATAAGTGTGAGTAAGTAATTGTTAAATTTATTATAATTAATATGTTAACTATTTTATTATAAATTAACTAATTTTAACAAAATTATACTAAAATTAAATATAAAATTTGATAAAATAATTACTATAAATATATTTATTATTATTTAATAATTTTAATTACAGATTTATTTATTTTCTAATAATTATAATTATTATCACTATTAAAATCACACTTTTATTTTAAATAATAATTTTTTATTGATTGACATTAGATTGTCTTATATTAAGTGAAAAACATTATTATTTCAATAAAATTTATACTAAGTTTTGATTACTTTTTTTTTGTTGAAAACATTTATCATTTTGTGAAATATGAAAACACATTGTGTTGGCGAAGATTTTTTTGGATATAATATTTATAATTTTATAAAACATTAGACATTTAACAATTTATAGCAATTTAAACATATATTACTGATATGTGAATTGAGTAATAAAAAGTTGACAAACTATAACATATATCCACTCAACTCCTACTGACCTCCCGTATCGCTTATAGCACTGGTATCTGAAAACCAGTGCAAATGTGATCAGTGGTATCAACCAAACGATGGCCTATTGTTCATATTATCACTAGTTTAGTGATTGATAAGTGTTTTCAACTAAAAAAAGTAATCAAAACTTATTGTAAATTGTATTAAAATTGTGAAAACAACTAAAAAGTTATGACTGATTATTATTTCAATTATAAAATAATTATTTCATTGTCATATCAAATGACTAAATTTATTAGTCAAACAATTATGGTGTAGATCTATATATATAGTAAGTTAACCAATGATTACATATTGAATACAATAATATTAGATTAATTTGGCATAAAATTCGTTGTATTAATAATAATAATAATAAATCAGAAATTATAAGTAATATGTTATTATATAAAATTATAAAGTTTACTTTAAAAATATTTTTGTATTATATTTTCAAAAATTTCTTATAATAAATAATTATTAAAAGATAATAATTTCTAATATTATATTACAAATAAAAATCATTATTTTTGATATCATATTTTAATTAAAATACTTTTTAAATTATTTAAGTTATTTTATGTCAAACTAACCTATTGTACTGTATTGTATATAATAAACCTAATATCATATATTATTAATTTAACAATTATAGTATGCGATTATTGGATAACTTATTATATTTAACATTTTCAGTCCTGGACTAATTTAGTCATTTTTAAACTATTATATTATATTATTTTGTCAGTGTATCACTTATAATTTATTGTTTAAAATTATAGTATTAAATAATTTATAATTGCAAATGTTTTAATTATTACAATCATTAATAATATAATGAAAGTTGAGTAAAAGTTTTTTTATAATTGCATTCACTGAAAATATTGCATTTTTTACTTGTATATAACTATTGCTTATACTCCCTATTAGAGTATAGATTATTGTGTATATAAAAATAAATCTTATATTAAATAATAACTAAAATATGAGAGTTTATTGCTGTTTTGCCTTAATATATGGCACAATGAGTGGTGGGATCAAAAGCCAAGTGCCATATATAATGTGTCCACAAAAATATAATTGTGTCAACACAGGTATCCATTTGGTGTATGAGAGAAGTATAAAGGGAACCAAACAATAGCCAAACATATAGATAGTGTAAATCCTGAAAAATACAAGGAGTGGCCAACGAATATAAAAGGCACTCAATAATGAATCCATTGTTTTATTGCGGTTTCGCCACGAATTAAATAAGGATAACACCTGTGATTGAGATATAAAATAGCAAAAAATTAATAGTTTTACATATATTGATATATAACACCAGCTAACTATTGGGAATAGACCATTACCTCCCATTCCATTTTCATAATAAGGAACTCCATGCCAAACGTTATATAATAACCGGTTGCCCACCCGTGCCAAAGGGCCAGAAATAAAAGTGTCAGAAAATGACTGGCTATTCGTGAACCGAGAAATTTGAGTCTTTTAAACAAATATCGGGCGGCAAACTCATTGGTTGTTAAATTGAATGACCGAATCAGTCCTCCGAAAGTGGTGGCCGTCTCAAACTTGAGCACATATACGTTGGAGCACTCGTACACAGAACCAGTCTTTTCATTATATGAAGCACCAGATATTATGCAAACACCCTCCTAATCATAGTATTGACGCAAATCATGCAATCATATTAATATTTTAAAAGGTTTTCACTTATTTTTACTCTTAAACATTATATTCAGAATTATCTATTAGTGTATAAAAAAGTAATTTGTTTTGCAGTAATACATTAACGCAATGTATAAGATAAAGAATATTATTGAAATGTACTTTTAAAAAACCAATGTTGCAATATTACATATACATGTATATTATATTTATATTTTCTAATGTATTTTATGATGTATAATAAAAAATATAAAACTTATTTAAAAAATAACATATTCATTATTGATTAATTAGAAATAAGATTACATTATATTGTGTGCATATTTATCTAAAACTCAATGCATTTAAATTAAACTATATTTAGAAAACAATAGAAAACTATATTTAGATTTTATTGATATATTAAATCAGTGTTCATTACTCACACTAACTGACAGATAATAATATATAGTATCTGTACTGTTATTATAAATATATAATCACTTCACACAAAAAGCAATACATTAATATTTAAATGCATAAAATATGCGGTTTCTTACTAAACATTCATAATGTATTTGTCCTAATAAAAAATCTATATTATTTTTATAAAAATGCAAACAATTTATGTTTAATTAATATCTATTTTACTAATTTTTCGTTTTTTTTAATTTTAAAAAAATAATTGTTTTCTTGTTTTCGATTTATCACAATATAATAAAATTCTTATTACGACAAGTTCTCTAAACTGTATAAAAATATTTTTATCGCATTCAAGAGCTTTACAATAAAATGATAAACTTTTATATATATAGAGAATTAATAAATGTTGAGAATATTGAATAATTTGAAGTGTTTTACTTACAGCTATGAGCCAACCGGACAAGTATTTACATAAAGTTAATTTTGCTATTATTGCCACAACTGATGCCCTCATGAAAAATCCATACGAATCCTGAAATCAATGATAATTATTTGTTATCATAATATAGATAAATCATATTATCGTTTATATAAATATTTATATAATTCTAATTTTGATAAAAATTAATATTTATATAAACAATAATTATTTTTAGTTTTTATATTAATATTACAAAAAAATTATATGATTAACTAAATAATTTTAAAAAATTGATAAATAAAACAAAACTTACAAATTCTGGTGAATTCATATATTGATAGGGCCAGTGAATTGAACCAATTTGATAAATTAGCAAATATATGAGTCCTAACATAAGTCGGCTCATTGCTGGAAGCCAACTGTCCATTTGTCATACATTATTTAAATCAAGATATATAAAAATTATTAAAAAAAAATATTATAATAACATTTAATATACCATTTGGGAAGAAAATTATCGTTGGACTCAATGTATTTGAGATAATTTTTGTATTTGACTTGAGGGCCAATTAGGAATGATCCGGGAAAGTAGGAGTGGGACAGTAATTGCAATAAAGTGGGACAGTTGTCTACAGCCGTGTCCTCACTGAAGAGCTCCAATTTGTCTGATTTTGTACTATTCTTTGCATAAGTGGGTGAATCAGTGGCCAATTTGGCCAATATTTTAGTATTTCTATGGCCGTCATAGACATCAAATGTCATCGCAATTAAACGTAATGTTAGCACACATTGTGGTATAGTCCACGTAAACATATATTCAGATCCAGTTTGGGTCACATAATAGCCATATAATAGATATGACTAACAAATGTTAATTATGTTAAACAATAAATCAATAAAATGTTATAATTTTAACAATTAGTATATTTATAATATATATGATAAGCCATGACATACCATACAAAATGTTAAGTTTAAAGCAATTGCTTTACGTTTAGGTCCTATTAATGTCAGTACTGTCCAAACAAATATACAACTGACGAAAGAGTGTATTGTATTGATCCCTACATTAGTGACAAATTTATTATATATTATATTTATAATTGAAATAATATTGTAGTCAATAGTTTGCTTTCATACACATGAATGTCATAGAAAATAGTCATATGTTATGGTAATTAATATTATATTAATACTGAATATACAGTATTTATAGTATTAATATATTATATATTAAGTCAAAATAATCGATGAAAATGAGAGACAAAAAAATATTTATTATAATTTTGTTTAAATAATATGATTCTTACCGTAATTATAGTAACAGAGGAATAGACCGCATAATGTATAGTATATATGTTTGGTTATTATCGGACTCTTTGATAAATATATATTATAAATAACACATATCGGGTAACCTTTTATTAAAATAATATTATATATTTTTAGAAATAATTATTTAAATATAATAATATAAAATTATTTTAAAATTATGTCAATTGAATTGAATTTAATTATAATTATAATAATGAATTTGAAATAAAAAATAAATGCAATAAATACCCAAAAGAGCCGAAATTATAAGCCGGAGAGCGTTTGCATCACATCTCACCTGAGAAGCTATGGATGTGATTACGTAATCCATGACTAAAATCCATTGAATTAAATTAAAAAACTTAAAATATTTTGAGATTTATTTAACAAACATTTAGTTGATATCAGTCTCTTGTTTTTAAACACATATCAAATAACGATGCAATCGATGGTATATTTTGCTGACTCCGGCACTGACTCTACCACTGAATGTCTAAATGTCTACACTTTTAAAGCGCTTCTTAAGCTTAGAAATTAGCAAAATATCAATCAATCGATACTATTATATAATGTTTTATATAACAGATTGCGCCTCAGTTTTCATAAAAATTAAATCTATTTATAATACGATATAAATTATCAATAAAAATTAAAATGTATAAATGTATAAAATATATTTAAATTTTATTGTTTTTAGTTTTCAATTTAAAAATGTATTATTAACCAATTTAATTAATTAATAGACTATAACAACTTTAATATTTATTAATGAATATTAGCAAAAAAATATTACAAATTTGATAAAATTTATTTTGATAATTACTCTGATAATTTAAGTTTGAACAGTAAAAGCATTATAAAAATAATTTATAAATTTTAATATACGAATAATATATAGCTATTATTGATTCACTAGTTTATAAAATTCAGAAAAATCTATTTAAACTAATATTTAACTAATGATTAACTGAGACAATGATCTGATGGACACATAAGCACATGAACTGCATCTACTAAACGGTAACTTTTATTGACATATATTAAGAATAATTATCAATACATTTAATAGTAATCTGAATATACTGTATACATATCATCTATTAATATATTTAATGATATTATATTACTATATATGATAATAAATTTAAAAATAACCTTGTATATATATTAATACTATTATATTTTACTAAATYTTAATAATKTATTTAGAAATAAAAAATATTTTCACACATTAAATCTTTGAAAGAAAAATGATTTATTTATATTACTTATCATACTTACTATAAAATAATAATAATAATAATAATAATAAATATATATATATATATAAATATTTTTGTTTGATTATTTATATGGATATTTATTTAAAAATTAATCTATAAAATACTAATATTTATATAATGTTTTATCTAATGGTATAAATTAATATTTAAATATTACAAAATATTATTTATTGGATATACCTCATATAWATTTCCTGTAAAATACTGTAAAAAGCATTTTAATATTTAAATTTATTTAAAAATTATAAATAAAGTAAATAAATTTAATAAACAAATTTTGATAAAWTTATGATTAAAAAATATGCAAAATATTAAATTCTGATTATAAAATATTTGGATCTTATTTAGATATAGAGTTCAGAACTGATTACGATTCAGTTAAASCGTTAAAACCGGAACTGAAAACAATTTTTTTGATAATTATTGTAATTATAATGTTATTCTACAGTTAATGTAATGCTTTAAAATAATATTAAATACAATTAAATTTTGCATTTTAATGTCTATTAACAAAAAAACAGTTTGGTTTCGGTTTAGGTTTTTTTATATGATTTGCTTTTCGAAAACATCTTCGTTTCCGATATCTAATACAAACCATATTATATGATATTATGTTATATAATAAATAATATAACATTATTTTTAAAATATTGTCGACAAAAATTTCAATATTTCTATTGAGGATCACTCAAAGCAATTTAATTTCATATCAATAGATGTCATTTAAATCATACAAATAGTATTTTTCTATATACCGTATAGTTTATTATTTTAACGTAAATGAAATACTGATTTTAAAATAATTTTTAATATGATTTTTGTTAATTATAATTTATAAATATAATCAAAAAACTTTTTTAATAATAAGTTTATTTAATATAATATTTATTAATATAAGTATATATTTTTCTAATTATGATTAATATTTAATAAATTATGATAAAATATAAAAAGTTTAAATAAATTTTTTTATTTAAATAAATAATAATAACCATAATATTTAACAAACAATTAAATAATACAAATATGTTTTTTAATGAGAAATTATACAATAATTTAACTAAATTTTAACATAGATTTTTTACAATGAATTAATTTATATAATAAATTATCGAAATTACATAAATAATTTTTAAATAAATATTTATAAAATTATATGAATTATTTTAAAATGAGGTAGAAATAAGTTTAAAATAATTATGTCAYCAATAAATTTATGATAATTATTACATTAATTATTTTTTATTATAGATATGTGTCTTATTATCGTAAATAACTTTAATTATTTACAAATATTTTAATTAAATTCATCAAATATTAAAATTCAATAAAATTATTATTTATTATATTTATTTTATATAATTTTAAATTCCATCAATATGTTAAAACTGCACAAATATTTATTTTACTAATCACTTATTTTGTAATTAACAATTTAATATTTTTATTAAATTAATAAAAAATATATGCTTATAATAGTTATTATCGACTAGTAATAAATTGCACAAAATCACACAGAAAGCAAATACAAACAAAAAACATTTTACAATAATATTAAATATAATATTTGAATAATTTTATAATAATTGATAACAATTACGAATATCTAATAACATATGAATAAGAATTAATTTTTCTTATTCTCGATTATCATAATCTAAGTTAAAAGTAATGTCAAGGCTTTTAAAGCAACCTTTCATTCATTAAAATAAATTAAATAACTATTAAAATTTGTTTAAAAATTTTAATCAATTATAAATTATAATTTTTATATGTGTAAATTTTGTATTTTTTCAGCAAAATTTTGATTTGTTTAATATTGTAATAATATTAATACAGTAATAATACTGTTAAATTGTTTTTGAATAATAAGTAAATGATCTAGGATAATTTAATTTTGTTGTAGTATAAGCTGTTCGAGTTCATCGGCCGATCGCAATAAGAAAGCGGCGGATTCGCGGTAACCGGCGATTAGCTGCTTGACTGCGGCCACTTCGCTCGGATTCAGTGAATAGTGAGTACCAGTTGTCGATGGCTTACCATTTGATGAGACACTACCAGTGACTGAGTTACCGTTCACGAGATTAGTAGTACCATTGCTAGTGTCTGATATATAACATCCAAGAAAAACAAATCAATAAATTTAGACTCAAAATTGTATTTTTTCAAAATAATATTTTTTTGGGTTTTTATTATATTTRATTTTAAATGAGTGAATATTTCAAAGACTCAATACTTAGAAAGATTAAACAAATTGAACAATAAATTAGTAAATTTATATTAATACTAATCTTTTTTTAATAATAAAAAAAATCTTATTTTCTCATCACTTTGAATAACTATATGACACATATAAATGAATTTTGATTTATATTCCTTTTAATTGGACTTATTATTAGTGAAAAAAATATATAAAAAAGGATTTAAAGAAAGAAAATCAAATATGAATACAAAAAGTCAAAGAAATGAACGACTTTTGCATTTGAAGATCATTTGAGAAAAATAATGCATAAAAAAGTTGTGAACGACTGGTGAGTGACTGCATGACTGCAATAAAAATCTCTTTTTTTCTGAATATAAGACTAAATCGATTGCAGGGATGAGTTGGAGGCACAAGACTAACGGTTTGTGATACCAAACACTTTACTACTGCTGTTATACTACTGTTCCTATCAGTGCTCTATTTCTGCCACTTTTTTGTGTGTATTTTATGTTCAAAAAAATATATGTTTTATGGTAAAGGATATTATAAATAAAAGAAAATTTTAAAACTTTGTCAAACAAATTCTTTTATTTCAGTCTATATATCGATAAAATAGCAAAAATTGGAGCAAAACTTACTGTTTTCTGATGCTATGGATTGTTGTTGATATGAAAAAGACAATAAATTAGGATTAGTTGTAGAGCTTTGTTGAAACACTTGTACGGCACTGGCAGATGTCGAGGTGGCCGTACAGTGAACCGGTGCTGATGTGGTTCCGGTGCTGGTCGACGACACCTCATTCTTATCAATTACAGATTGTCAAAAATACGTGATGTTTTAATATATGGGCAAAATATATATTCATAAAATTAGTTATTATGTTAACATTAAAATTTGTAGAAATGGGTATCTTTTTAGAGTATTATTAATTTTTAACATTAAATCAAATGAAATGAAGAATTGCTGGGATTTTATGAAATAATTACAATTCGTGTTATATTAGGATAAGGAGAGAAAAAAGAAAGAAAGAAAGAAAGAGAGAGAGAGAGAGAGAGAGAGAGAGAGGAGTGAATACTAGATAACGGTGTTATAGTATAGTACAGTATAACTGAAACAGTACTGAACTGTACTGCACTGTACATACCGTACTCTATAGAATGTGAATGTGTGTTGTGTTATGTAATAAACGAAATGTTATATAAAAAAAAGAGAGACGAGAGAGGAGTGTGTAATAGGGATAGGGATGTGAAGGGAAACTGATGGGGAATGAGACAGAGGGAAGACATACTAAGCTCACAGAAATAGGTTTGAGTCCCATTCGCATCCTTTTGGCGTTTTGGCATTCATTATCACAGGCTGTCGCCAGGATTTGTTCAGCCATTGGAGATGTTAAATGGTATGACACATGAGATGACGGACCAGTCTTGGTGTTGGTGTTAGTATTGGATGATTCACTCCAAGCTCTGCCGTTATTCCCATTTTCATTGCCTGAGGCCACGGTCTGAGCCGTAGTCTTATGTCGTTTGGTTCGACGACAAGACTTGAGATAAGTTCTGATACGCTTTCGCGCCCTTTCACTGAACTCTGGGAACTGACGGCCACAGCTCTCAATGATTGCTTGAATTTTTTCCTTTGGCTGTCTTGAGATGGGAACCATTCGATCGAGATTTTCATCAACAAATAGCCTGACAAACATCTAATGGCAATCCATATGAAAAAGAAATAATGGCATCAAATCAACAAAAATTGTTCGCTAATAAAGGTTTGTATTGAATTTGTAATACATTGAAAGCTTTAAGCCTCTCGGGATCGTAACTACCAGTGCTCTGCTCTGACAACAGTCTGTCTCCAAGTTGTAGATCATTATCCTCGTCGTCGTCATCTTCTTCATCTTCATGTAGTTCTCTCTTTGTTTTATGATTCCAACGCTCTGTGAAGCCATGGCTGATATGACTAGTACTCGAGTGATGCTTATTATGAAAATCAGCACCACTTCCACTGTCGTTACCATTTATAATACTTTTACAAGTATTACTCAGTTTAGCTCTCTTGGAGCACATATTCAATGGTTGATCTGAAGAAATACAAGTCTCACGTTTGACTCGACTCATATCTAATGGAACGGCTTCTTCATCGAAGTCGGTCTCATCGACAACTTCTTCATCGTCGTCATCACCGGTGATCTCTTCACAGACAGCGTCTGAATAGAGATTTAAATTAAATGCAAAAAATTTATTCATTAGTTTCAAGACTCCAATTGCATAACATTTTGTCTTTGCGAGAGATAGGTATGGATTGTGACTGAAAGGGAATACAAGAACTCAAGAAATACAAGAAATGAAAAAAGATGTGCGAAGAAAAAGAAAAGAAAAACATTAGAAGAGAGAGAGAGAAAGAGAGAGAGAAAGAGAGAGAGAGAGAGAGAGAGAAAGAGAGAGAGAGAAAGAGAGAGAGAAAGAGAGAGAGAGAGGGAAAAAGAGAAAGAAAGAAAGAAAGAGAGAGATGATAGCACAGGGTATTAGAGTAGAGAGTAGAGTGGAGAGAGAAAGAGAGACAGGCAGTGGTGTTAGTGGTGTTGTGTATGTAGTGCTCTCAATGCTACTACCAGTGCTGTGAGATGTATATTATATTTACCGTCACTGTTTGCAGCAGTGGTCTGATCCCCATTGTGTGCACTAATGTCAGCATCAGATGCGCCGGTCTCTGTCTCCGATATCATTTCCTATTGAAAGTAAAGGCATAGACAGACACTAAATACAAATCTATACCAAACTGGAGACACAAGAGATATCAAATGGATAGCATTGACAGTTGTATAGCTATAACAGTGGTATAGAGTATACAATAGAGTTGTATTAGAGAACTGTTAGACTAGAGTACACTCCTGTGTGACACAAGAGAAATGTTTGGATCAAATACAATACAAAACTCATATATACTATGAATCGTACGAATGGATCAAATACTATACTAAACTAAAGTAGAGGCCATCACTTGCCACTCAATGCCTATGCCTTTAATAGCAGTCTCTAAGAACTCAATGTGTCTAATGGTTAGAATCCAATGTTATATCATATGTAATGATGAGCACTGGTATGAAATGCTATCAAATTGTATGAAATAGTGTAGTAGTTTGCTATGGAATGGTATGAAATGGCATTTAACTACATTATTATGGGCTTTCATTTGGGATGCAATTTGCAGACCTTTAAAAGCGACAAAAATCAATTGGTTTTGGGCTCTAAATGAATGGCATAACCAAAAAGATTATTACTTTTTGTGGTCCAAACATACACTACTATTCAGACATCACTACTTCTATCACAACAATATGTTTGCTTAAACTAATTCGTGTTTCTAGTGCTCACAGGCAGATCCCTGAGCCCGTATGCATGTGTTAGCCCCTGTAAAGCTATAGATTGGAAACTTATTAGTAAATGGCATATCAAATACAGACACACACTCTAGCATTGGTTGTCTACTTTCTGGATAGTATTGAATTCAATCAAATGCACTCAAATTTTTTATCATGAATTTTATGCATCCATTAATCAAAGCATTCATTGCGAAAGTCTAATCAATTGAGACGACAACTAATTAGTTTTAAAACAACTAATAATTTCAAATGACTTACTAAATACATGTCTTTTAATGGATGGCACAAAAGGTATATACAGTATATATGTATGTATGTGTGTATGTGTGTATGTGTGTATGTGTGTATGTGTGTATGTRTATATATATATATATATATATATATATATATATATATATATATATATATATATATGTGTGTGTGTGTGTGTRTGTGTGTGTGTGTGTGTTCTCAATGTGTGATCCAAAAGTAAATGATAATGCTTTTAGTATTTGCAAAATTGCTTTAATATAAGTTGTATATCAAAGTGTTCACAATATCACACACACACATACAGTATATATATATATATACCGCTATATACCAGTGCCTCATATACACACTACTGGATCAAATGAATTGAATGCAATCTCTATGGTAACTGAAATAGTATTTCGTTAAGTCTTTTTTGGTGAATGTGGAGCAAAGCACGAGGCGATGCACAAGCAATACAAGCAATACATACTATACATGACTACAATCTATAGACTGTCGACCAAAACTTGTTGATTCCTTTCGGTTATGTTTTTGTTTAAAACATTTCACTTTATACTTAAACATTACACTTCATATCTTCAATTTTCTCAAATAAACTATTTTTCTACTAATTATAAAATCAAATGTAAAATACATTTCATATAAAAATCAATTTTATAGCTAAAACTCGCTATTCATTAAAGTAAAGCATTAATTGAGATATTGTGTAAATGTTGTGTTAGGGTTAAAATGAGATTGTGTTTGAAGTAAATTATGGTAGTTATCAATGATATCACAATGTGTGGTATAGTATATATATATATAGAGCACTTACATCATCACCCTCTTGGCCATCAAAGCCTAGACTGGGAACTGTGGGTGCAATGAGTGAGTCTCCCATAACGTTATAAACAAAGCCCGCATTTCTCATACGCTTTATTGTTGTCGTTAACGGCAATGAATAGTCGATATCAAGCGCTGTCTTTGGCAGTCCATCGACTAAATTTGTGTTCAGTAGACTCTTCCGCATAGAAGTGCTGTTTATATTTATATATTTGCCGAACGATTATAAAAAAGATAGTAATTGTTAGTTTGATTTACAGTATTTGGTGCACAGGCTTTCACTCAACATTATAGCAAATGTAATGATAATTTCTAATGACATACCTTTTAGATGAGGAAGTTTTACTTTGGGCGGTCATACCATTAGTAGATCCATTGGTACTCTGAAGATGCATACGCTTTTGGCAGTCAGAGCAGGACATCAGGAAACGAGTCACTGCCTCTCGCGGTAGGAATGCATACATCTCTGCAACCTATCATTCAAAACATTACCACAATTTTAAACATTTATTAAAAAAAAACTCTTATAATTATTGTCCTGATGTCTACTATACAGCCAAATGCAATGACTTGATTGCATCCAATTTATAACATTATATCTCTTTCTTATGTTTTTTCTTTTCTAACTTTACTTATTATATTACAAGCAATTCCTTAAATTTTTAAACACATTTTATTAAATTTTTCTAAAGTACTGCATTGAGACCAATACAGACCTCAATTCAATTATAAGGAAACTAACGCTTCTCTATCAATAGGTATATAACAATGCTTTCATCCATTAATTTTATATTAGTCTAAACTGATTTTCTTACAAAAAATTACTTATCATAAAATTATGTGACTAATATGTTGTCTATTTTATAATAATAAGATAGCATATAATATAATTTTTAATTTACCCTTGGTATAAATACAGTCTATTATTTAAAATTTTCAATAATTAAAAGAGTTTTATGTAATAAAATTCTAATAATTTATAATAAATTCATGAATTAAATATATGAAAATATTTTGACAAAATTTATTTAATAGTTTATATATATAAATAAATATAAATATATTATATATTTAATATATACATTAATATCATATTATTAATTAGTAATTCATGATAATTTTAAATACTAAATTTATATAATAGTGTATTATTAATTTGTGTTATTACTTAAAACAAAGCAAAATTATCAGCATCTTAAAATATATACTTTAAAAATGACAATACCAATTGAATTTATTATTTTTATTATTTATAATTGAGTAAAAATTAATTTTAAATACTTCAATTAATTTTTAGGTACTCTGTTATATCATATAACATAACTTATATGTGCTACAGTAGTAAATTATATATCTGTTTATAAGTAACAGTACATATAACGTAATTATATATATATATATACAGTATATATATATATGTATGTGTGTGTGTGTGTGTGTGTGTGTGTGTGTGTGTGTGTGTGTGTGTGTATGTATGTATGTATGTATGTATGTATGTATGTATGTATGTATGTATGTATGTATGTATGTATGTATGTATGTATGTGTGTGTGTGTATGTATTTAATGACATACCGCTTTATATGTGCGTTTTTGTCCTGCGTGTCGACCTATTTTAGACAGATAGACATTGAGAATGTTATTATCAATGAAAACATCTTAAATAATGTCTATCTCTTTAAAAGATAGATATTAAACATATAGACATACCTGATCTGCCATCCATTTCCACGTGAACATTGTATATTATATCAAAAAAGTTTTCCACCACTTAATCACCAAACAAACCGCACATAAGTTATGTAATAAAGAATTAAAAATAAAATAATTTTAAAAACTTAAATTACTATACATTAAGAATATAATAATCATTGAATTTTCTGAAAGATTTTTTTACAATAAAATACATTTTTGCTGCAAAAACTAAATATCTATTAGAATTATTTATAAACTATTTTGAAATTTTTTTATTACAAATATTCTTATTAGTTATTAATATTAAACCATTAGTTATTGAAATACAAAAAAATTAATTGTTGTTACTATTAAATATTAATTTTGTTACTATTTATTAAATTGATTTTTGATAACATCATTATCTTAACTATTAGTTCTATACCGTATGTTTCTTATTTTAATTTTAACTTTAAAAATGCAAATAAAAAGTTATTAATAATAAAACATTATTTTTAATTAAATAAATCTTAAACTAATAAAATGATCATGGTAACTGATAATATTTTACATAAAACTCCCAAAATTTGGGTGATTTGGCGTCGATTATGATCATTGCCTACTCCACCCAATAAAAGGATTTATATAAAAAATATGGCAAATAATGCGATTCCCATCATTTGGTCTTCAAATACATTATTATAACAAAAATATAAATTTATAAATATAAAAAATAGTTTACTTTACCGGCTACTTTTTTATATATGGTATTCTCAGAATCGGAACCCTATATTATAAAAACAAAAAAAATAATTAGTATTTTCATATTTACATCAAAACTTGCATTAAAATTATTCATTAAAACAAAAAAAATTTACAGAAATACAAATCTTTTAAAATCTCTTTAAATATATATAACATCTATTTTTTCTATAAATACTTAAAGATAACAAATTTTATTTCAATTTTAGAAAATAACCCAAAATAGGAATTTGAATGTTAATTGTATAGAAAACACACACAATATATATAAAGAATATTCAGTAAAATTTGATTCTTTAAGCGAAATGAATTTAAATCCGAAGAAAACTTTATTTTTTGTAAAAATTCGTTGTATTTTTGTTATTAGTTGTGATTTTTCTTTTCTATTCATATTATATGTAGTGTTTTGGAGACAAGAAATAGATATACAATATATAGACTGTATATATATCTATATATATATATACAACTATAGGAATACCTACTTATAGTTAATGGAAGTGAACTGCATTTTGGAAATCTTGAACTTCTCTTTCGGTGCAAACATAAGAGTTAGAGTTAGCTATAGTTTGGCTCTACTTTTATACAGAATTATGATGTGCTCTGTATTGAGTGTAAGTGCTTTTGCTATCTTGTATGGCATGTAAGGCATGAGGGACCGCATCATCAGACGCACCGATCGATACACAGTGTGTGAGTGAGTATATATATATATATATATATATATATGTGTGTGTGTGTGTGTGTGTGTGTGTGTGACTGACTGAGAGAGTGTGTTGTTCTTCAATTGGGCTCTGCCTGAGCTCGCATTATGCCTTCCCTTTTGCAGAGGCATGAGATTAGTTGTAGTGCACTGAATGCCAGTCAATGCAATGTTCTATTCTCTCTTTATATATAYACACAGTATGTGTATATGTCATGTGTGTGTGTGTGTGTGTGTGTGTGTGTGTGTGTGTGTGTGTGTGTGTGTGTGTGTGTGTGTGTGTGTGTGTGTGTGTGTGTGCACTACAAAGTGTATGGGTTTGGGCTTCATTTCCACACAACGACAGCAACATGAAAATAGAATGGATCGGATGGGGAGAGTAATAGGAGGGGTTGAACATTGAGTTGTGTTAAATCTCTTTTCGTGCTCTCTGTCCTGCAAACTATTTGATGAGAGAGAGAGAGAGAGAGAGAGAGAGAGAGAGAGAGAGAGAGAGAGAGTTAGGAAAGGGATGGTAAACGTAATGGAATAAAATATATATAACATTTGGTGAAGTAATGCCTTCGTTGGCATCAAAGTTAGTCCTAAATAACAAATAAAGTTTTTTCAGCAAAACAACAAAAAGAGAAAAATGAGAGAATGCACAGGCATTACATGTATAGCAATAGTGCTAACAGTGAACAGAGCTCTGAGTTAGAGGTGATAGCGATATAACAGAGAAAGTACTTTCATATTAATGATATATATATATATATATATAACAGTATATAACAACACCAGAAAAAATTCAGAGACAGACCATATAATGCATACATAAAAGTGGATATAAAGTTATGATTTAGAGTATATGTTACTCAATATGAAAGTTATTATATGAAAACATAGTAAATATAATGCGCTTCTCAGGCATAGTTTGTGTGTGTGTTTGAGTTTTTGTTTTTAAGCCCACATCACATCACAAGGTATTTCACTAATACTGTAAGTGAACGACATATACTATTCCCACAAGTGCTCCAACACTATAGCACTGTTAGCAGAAAATATATTCAGTTCTGATATATCTCGTAATATTCAATATACAGATTCCAGAGTGAGTCTACACTACCACTACTACTACTACTACTACTACTACTACTACTACGACTACTACCAGCCCCTCTCACTATACAACCTTTATCAGCTAACTTACGCATCGCATCGTCCATGCATTACAAAAACAGCACACACAGCAACACACACACACACACACACACACACACAGCATACACATACACTACTTAATAACAGTGCATATAATGTGCAGAATTTAATGTGGATAAGTGCGGGCCAAATGATGAGCTGATGAGCCCAGAGCTCGCAAATGAGAGTACATGTGCGCACTCATACCATTCATTACTCGGGTATACATCATTCAAAATGATATTCAAATGTGAACAGTCATATCATTTAATACATACAACTCATATAGCATTACATTAGAAAAGAAAAATAATTACTTAATTTATAATATACTGTAAACTAAATTGTTATTAGAATTTATATTACAAAATAACTTGATATCCAATTAACACAATTGTTATTTTAATTTACACACAAATACTTTTTAATTTATCATAAGATTTCAAGAATAAGCGTTTAATTCATTTTGCTGACAAATATTTTGATAATTTTGATGATATATAAAACAAATGTATATTAAAAATAAATTAAATATATGAATCATTATTTATAATTTCCAAAAATTTTATTAGTGATTGAATATCAATTTATTTAATAGAAAGGTAAAGTATGTTGTTATGGTAGAGAAAGGTATAGTTAGATATATACCAGTATATATTTGATATATACAGTATATATATATATATATATTTGATAAAAGCATAATATAAAAGCTCGGTTTTAGATGAAATGCTGAGTGAGTGGTTGACTGCCTGTTCTCCTGAGGAACTAATTTAATATTCAATAGAGAGTCGCATAAACAGGACAGACATAGACTTAGAGCACAGTCAGGTTTTTAGGCAATACTACTTTCATTTTCAATATAGTCAATGGCTTACATAATATAATAACATATAAAGTTAGACATTAAACCTAAATACAACAAACTAAATATACGATAAGTGTGTATATGATATGTCCTGTTTAGCAAAATTATTGTTTACTGAGTGTAAGAGCACAGGTGCTGTTATTGGTATCGGTGCTTATTATATGTTTCATACTATTTAAGTCCTAACACAACCTAATATCAAACTCACAATACTTGCATTAGAGTGAAGTACAGTCAACTGTTATAGTGATAACAGAAAAATTATTTTTTATAATTTCAGATAATTAAAAGTTCCGCTGATTTCTCAATACTTATAATGTTGTATTAGATTTACAAAAATAAGTGACAAAAATATAAAATTTTGTTGAAATTTATTCCTAATTCATATATGGGATGTATTGATATAACATTTTAACATAAAGTATACACTTTACAAATATTGCATTTTATAGTGTATACAGAATACACGCACAYAAACATAATAACGTATACAACACACAATAATTTTGAGTTGATTTGATTGTATAATCAAATCAATTTGAATATTTTTAAAAAAGTATTTATCAGAAAAAACTAGTTTTTTATAGTATTGTCCTCAATATATACTGTAAATTTATATATAAATATATGCCATGTTTTTCTAAATATCAAGCAATAGATGTGTGTAAAATTAGATTTAGATTTTTATAAATATTATCATTGAATGCAATTCAACTTCAATACAAATATAGTTTTCAACAAAAATAGTTAATATGTGTGCGGTTTTTCATGGATACATCTTTCGTATACATTAAACTGCATAATATTATATTTAATATATTGTGTATATATTTTGTATATTACTGGATAGTATACAATCCAATGTATACATACAATATATATACTGTATATACATTGATATTAGTATTAGACGATAAGGTCTACCAAATTGTATTGCCGGTGCTTTATGTCTGTTCGTTTACATAGCTCTTAATAATAATAATACTGAGCTCCTAACACATCAAACCTACTTCACAGACATTAATATCATTTATACAATGGGTTCACTCAATATGTTATAACACTGGAGACCAACCAAACTGAGTGCCGCAACCATTCAATGAACAGCAAAAAGAGTTTGAGAGAGAAAACAAAAACTTCAATGAAATTGAGCCCAAAATTAAAGTCATATAAAAATATGTGGTATGAAAGAGACTTTCAGTTCAAATTTAATATACTTCTGACATATTTTCCTTATTATTATTACAGTATTATTATTATTTGTATTTTGACTAGTATTTCAAAAAATTCCATTTTTATAATCTAATTATAAATGTAAATGAGTGTCAATTAAAATTTAACTACAAAATTGAATAATTTTATTTGAAAATATATAATTAAGAAACATATTATAAAAAAAGTTTCTCACTAATGGTAAAGGTTTGACACAAACTTAATAATATTGAGTTTACGTTTGAATACAATTCTATAATATTGAGACACATTTGGAGTACATATGAGTTCAATATATATATATTTTTGATATTTTTTGCTCCACTCGTGTAATATTTTGCTTTTTTTGCCGCAAGTGTTGATTTAGTGTTGATTTTGTCGTTTTCTTTCCTCTCGATTGGCTGTCCTCTCATTGGTTATAAATTATAAGAGCCAGAGATGGACTGCACCTATACCTCAAACATTTCTTGTATTGCAAACACATATTATATATAGTATACTGCATTTATGATTGTATTTTGTATGATAGAGAAAAATATATATAAATTGAATGCAATGAAACCTTATGATACCTCACGACTCGATTCCCTCTCATATATTGTTATCATTACATGTATTTTGAAGCAAATATTCATTGCGTGTTTAATACACACCAACTCTAATGGCAATGGAGTACAATTGGGCGTTGGTTTTGGTCACTCCACTGGATCTCTATTTATATATATATGTATGGATCTGTGTGTATGTGTTTGTACTCAAAGGTAGCACAGGTTTTATAACTAACTTATCATTTATTAGTAACAAAAACTATTTTACACCCAAATTGTTATCATTATATTTATTTCAATAAATAAGTTTTTATTGTAAAAGTCCTCTTTTTTGTTCATTTCAGAGCAAAATTGTGATAACTTTTATTAGTGATAAATTGGAAGCTGATATGTCAGTCCTTAACCAACGAGAAACGAGTGCACTGGTACTACAGTACTGTACACTAACAAAGATGCTATAGTTATATCTCCGCTAACACACACACACACACACAACCTGCTAGTACTGTCAGTTC